TTGGAGGTGCTTTGGACTTGTGTGAAGCTTGCTTCCTTAAGATCTCTCTGGGTTTGGTGGCTTTGGTTGTTGTTTGGGAAGTTGTGGTTTCAGTTTTTATTACTGTTCCATTAATAAAGTTTGTTGTTTGCTTCTGGGTTTTCCTGGGGCCTTCCTTTCCTTGCTGGTTTTCCTGGCTTTCATTTCTGGTTGATATTTTTTTGAAGCTCTAAAATTGTTTTTCTCTTCTGGTTGGGTTTCGGTCTTTGCTGTTGGAGGGTTTACTCTCTTCCCCTACCTTTTGTTTTTTATTCTATTTTGTCCTCATGGCCTACCCCATTGATGTGGATACCAATGCTCAATGGACTAAGGCCACCTTTGCTGAAGTTGTGGGTAGTGGTTTGGAGGTGCCTAAATCCTTTGAACACCTGGTTTTCCCTCAATGTTTACTTGATGCTGCTGCTGGAAGGGGTGTTTGCCCATTTGTTAATCCTCTAGGAGTAAACGATGGGGAGCCTGCAATTATCTTCTCCCCTCAAGAAATTAATGAGCTCAATGAGACTGTAAATTCACTCTGGTTGGCAAATTCCAGTTTGGCCACCCTAAGATGGATTTTGTAAGGAAATTCTTTGGGGATTTGAAATTAATAGGTGCTTGGAGGTTGGGTCTAATTGATGGAAGGCACCTGTTAATTTCATTATTTAATGAAGAGGACTATGCAAGGGTTTTTGCCAGCAAACAAACTCTAGTTATTAATGGTATTCCAACGAAGTTAATGAAGTGGGCACCTGATTTTGATCCCTCAAAGGAACCCCCTGTAATTCCCATTTGGTTTAAATTTCCCAACCTACCCATTCAGTACTTTCATCAAAATGTTCTTTTCAGCATCAGTAGGGTGTTAGGCTGCCTACTGAAAATTGATGCCCCTACCTTTAATATGGCTAGACCTGCTGGTGCGAGAGTCTTGGTTGAAAGGGACATCTCCCTACTGGATATAGAAAGGGTTTGGATTGATACTCCTGAAGAAGGCTTTTGGCAGCAAATTGTAATGGACAAAAGCCAATTTATTGTCAACATTGTAAAATTTTTGGTCATAATGTGGAAAGGTGTTATAGACTACACCCTCCATCAAACAGGAAAATAGGTTTCAGCAAGATTTCTAAACCAGTGGAATCAGATGAAATGGTTGTGTTAGAAGTTAAAACAACTGATGTTGTGGTTAATACTACTGGGATGAATCCCAATAGTAGTGTTGTGGAGCTAGAGGCAGCCAATAGCATTAACAGTAATTTGAAGGGAAATATTATGAGTGATAACAGCCTAATCAATATAAATCCATCTAGAATTGAAGACCAGAGAATTGACAGTTTGACTGATGTCCTAACTAAAGATTGGCAATTTCAAAGAAGCAGTAAAAAAGAAAAAAGGCAAGGTAGAAATTGAACAACATTTGGAGGGCCCTATTACTTTGGATCATCATCCAAGGACCACGGGGAAAGGGAGGACCTTCTCTCAATGATGAATTTTCTTGTTTGGAACATTAGGGGTATTGCTGACCCCTCTTCTCTCAAGAGATTAAAATATCTAGTGAGAGTCCATAAAGTCTGGTGTTTGGCCATTCTTGAACCTTTAGTTACTAAAAATTCCCAAAAAATTCAAAAAAAGTTCCCTCAATTTGATCATTTTTCTAACTCCAATAATAAAATTTGGCTCTTTGCTAGAGCTGAATTACATTGGCTTTTTTGGCTCTTTGCTAGAGCTGAATTACATTGGTCTATTTTGATAGATCACTCTCAGTTTATTCACATACAATTCTATATTGGAGCTCAAATAGGCTATGCCACTTTCATTTATTCCAGTTGCCTTGCCAGCAACCAAGCCACCTTATGGAATGAGTTGATTCTGATTGGACAAGCTGTAAACTCCTTTCGGTTTTTTGGGGGGTAACTTAAATTGTCTTTCCTCTCTTGGTGAAAGAAAAGGTGGTAGACCTCCCACTATCTCTGCATTAAACAGATTCAATGACTTTCTCTCTGAGGCTGAGTTGTTTGATTTGGGGTACCAGGGGCCTGATTTCACTTGGAGAAGAGGTGCAATGTGGGAGAGGCTAGATAGATTGATGGGGAACTCTAAATGGGTTCAGACCTTCCCTTGCACTATCGTTACTCATCTGGCTATGACAGGTTCTGACCATAGACCATTGTTATGTACTATCCAAATTGCTGAAAAGCCAAAAAATGCTCCTTTCAGATTTCAAAACATGTGGACTCTCCACCCTCAATTTGTTGATGAAGTTTGTAAGGTTTGGAGGGCTGATGGGAACTCTAATCCCTGGGTAAAATTGTGGATTCTGCAGAAAAAGGTGGCTGCTCATCTCAAGAAGTGGAATTGGGAAATATTTGGTAATATTAATGAGAATTTGTCCACTGCTCAAAGTAATGTTATCAAAATGGAAAAGAATTTCCAAATGGGTTTGAATTCTGAAGCTGAACTGCACAAAGCAAGTGAGGAGCTGTTAATGCAAACCAATTTTACTGAATGTTTTCTGAAACAAAAAGCTGTTGTCACAAGATTCATTGATGGTGATAGAAACACAGGCTATTATCATGCTTGTATTAATTTCAGAAGGAAGAATAACATGATCCTCTCTATACAGGATTCAAATGGTAATGTAGACAATGATGCTGAGGACATTGCCACTGATGTCGTTCAGTATTTTCAAAAAATCTTTATGGATTAGTCTACTGAGAGAGCTCCTATCAAGGTGGAACTTTTCTCTGAGTGCATTAATTATGTTCAAAGCTTGGACCTGATTCAGATTCCTATGGAAGGGGAAATTAAAGCAGCACTGGATTCTATTGATGACCAGAAGGCGGCTGGCCCTGATGGTTTTACTGCTAAATTCTACAAGTCTCCTTGGCATATCATCAGTGGGGAGGTGGTTGATGCTGTACAATGCTTCTTTAAAGGTATGGATCCCCCTAAGTACTTCACTGCTTCCACTATTACTTTGATTCCCAAAAATTCTACCAGGACTGGGTGGGGAGATTTCAGACCTATCAGTCTTACAAATGTCTTGTCTAAAGTTATCAACAAGGTTATTAATAGTAGGCTCCAACCTCACCTCCAACAACTTATTAGCAATAACCAGGTAGCATTTGTGAAAGGGAGGCAGATCTCTGATAATATTCTCTTGGCACAGGAGTTGTTGCTGGACCTTGACAGAAAGTGTAGAGGAAGCAATCTCATTCTGAAATTGGATATCCAGAAAGCTTATGACACTATCAATTGGAATTTTATATTGGACACTTTAATTGCTAGGGGTTTCTCTGAGCCATTTATAATCTTGATAAAAAGATGGATGTCTTAATAATCACTCTATCTTAATCAATGGTAAAATCCATGGTTTCTTCTCTGCATCAAGGGGAATTAAACAAGGAGATCCACTATCTCCTACTATCTTCATTCTAGCTATGGACTATCTTTCTAGACTTTTAAATCAATTGTTTACCTCTTCTCCTCACCTGACATATCAGCATAGATCTAATATTGGGGTGAGTCATCTGTCTTATGCTGATGATATTATCATTTTCTCCAAGGCTACAAAAACTTCTGTGGAGGCTCTTTTTCAAGGACTGACACACTTCCAAATCACTTCTAGTATGCATCTTAATAAACAAAAATGTCAATTCTTTACTAGCTCAAAAACTCTTCCCCAGATTAGGCATTGGATTGCTCAGTACACTGGCTTCAGCAAAGCTTCCCTACCAATCAACTATCTTGGTGTGGCTGGACAAAAAAACAGTTCCATTGGTTATCTTGGAATAAATTATGTAAACCCAAAAGTGCTGGTGGTTTAGGCTTTAAAGATTTTCTTAATGGAGGTAGAATTACCCTCATTAAAAGCATCATAACTTCCATTCCATCCTATGCTCTTCAAATGTTAACCATGAAGAAAGACTCAGATTAGGCTGGGCAGAATTTTCAACAAATTTCTGTGGGCTGGACAAAAAAACAGTTCCATTGGTTATCTTGGAATAAATTATGTAAACCCAAAAGTGCTGGTGGTTTAGGCTTTAAAGATTTTCAGCATCTCAGTATCATCAACTTATGCAAACTATGGATAAAGTTTAGAGCACAAGATAGCCTTTGGGCTATGTTTATGAAGGGGAAGTATTGTAGGGCAGTTCATCCTACTATGGCTCAGAAAAAGATGGGTGATTCTAGATTGTGGTCTAAGCTTCTGGAAATTAGAAATAAAGCTGAGGAGTTGTTTATATGGGAGCTTGGTGAAGGCCAAGTTAATTTATGGCTTGATAAGTGGGTATGGAATGGGGAGAGGCTTCACAACTCCAATCCTAATTCAATGATAAAAGTGAAGGAATTCTGGAGTGACAATCAGTGGAACTGCAATCTGTTGGAGGCCATCCTAACTAAAGAACAACTGTATTGGGTTAAGCAGACTAAAATCTTTCCTAGGTAGAAGGATAGACTCATTACTAAATAGGCTTCCACACAAAAATTGTCTGCCTTCATCTACCAACAGCTTTATAAATGGCAACCTGTCAAGTGGGGTAATTTGATTTGGGGGAAGTGGTTAACACCTTCCATGTCCTTTTTCTGTTGAAGATTATGGAAATCCTTACTTCCTACAGATGACATTTTGAAGATGAAAGGGCTTAAGGGACCCTCCTGCTGTCAGCTATGCAGTAAAGCTGAGGAAAGTCTGGATCATTTTTTCTTCTCTTGTAGCTTCTCCCAAGGGGTCTGGTCTGGTATACTAAAACAACTGAATATTGACACTCTTAAAGTCAGCTGGAAATACTTTTTGGGGTGTTGGATGGAATGCTTAGATGCCAAATTAATAATCATTCCATGTATTGTGGCCTGGTTCCTTTGGATGTGCAGAAACCAGTCTAAATATGAAAACAACAAAGCAAAGGAGATGAAGGTGGTGCTGAATTGTACTTCCTATCTGCAAAAGATAACAAAACTTCAAAACTTTCCCAATATTTTCCTAAATTGGGTGCCTAGTGTGCAGAAGCTAAAAATGCCTACTTTAGTTCTCTAGAACCCACCACCTGTAGGGTGGGTGAAAGCCAATACTGATGGAAGCTTCTGTAAGGAGGCTACTGGTGTAGGAGGAGTCTTTAGGAACTCTCTAGGGAAATGCATGTTATACTTTTCCTCTCCCACTTAGGCTTTGGATGCACTTGAAACTGAAATGATTGTTATCTTTTGGGCAATCTACCTTGTCAGGCATTGCAACATCATAAAATTGATAATTGAGACAGATTCCTTCAGCTGTATTAGATTCCTAAATCATGAAGAGGCTGCTCCATGGAATGTTGCTAGGTGGATTGCTAAAATCCTGAGCATGTTATGCAATGTAGAAGTGATTTTCCAGCATATCATTAGGGTAAGAAACACCCCTGCACATAGCTTGGCTGCTAGGGGGAAGGATATTGAAGAAATTGCTGTAGGGACCATACCTTCCACTCAACTTGAAATACTTCTTCATGGGGATAGCTTATTCATTCCATATGTTATTTGCATGGATTGATGGTTTTTGTGTCTAACATAGATAGGTCCCTAATTTTTTTGTATACTTCCTTGTATGATCTAGTTAGTTAGAGGGGATGAATTTTGGTATGAGTGTTCTGCTCACTCAATATGTAATCAAACCTTCATATTAACATGTATGGAGCTATAGCATAGCTCTTTCTAAATATATATATATATATATATATATATATATATATTCAAATGATTTCTATTTCTTCACAAACTATATATTCATTGTAACGGGGAATGATGCTTTCTTAAATTTAAACTTTGAAATTTGTTTAATTTTCACAATTCTACTTGTGAATGTTTAGTATTTAGTTCAGTTTAATTTTTGTAATCTTACATCTACATTTCAATTAGCATTCACTTGAGTAGTCAATTTTCAAATTTTGTACTTTACTTTTTTTCTTTTATTATAATATAATTTCCATAAATTACTTTAGGATTTTCTAACTACCTTGTGGGATTGATATCTAAGACTCCATTAGAGCCCTTTATTACATGCATGATATGTATACTTGCGTTGATATTTAGGAGAGATTTGGTAGTTTAAGAAAAAGTTTTAAGGGATAAATTATATTTATAAGAAGTATTTTGTTTAGATTATTTTGTCTAAATTTGCCTCCATCGAGTTTTTGGGGTCGTTAAGTGGTGTCAACTTCATAAATACATGCATATAAAAATCTCACGTGCCATTATCTCCCATGGATTGGTAGTGCATGTACAAGTTGTAGAAAGGTCGATAAGGAAATTCATCAGTTGAATCTTCCTCAATCCAAGTATATTTCTTGAACTTATGTGCTAAACCATCTTCAATACGTTTAGTATGTTCAAAATGTTCCTTCAGCCTCCAGTCCAAATGATCCAACATTTTAGGAACATTCCCACTTGCATGTTTATGGCATTATACCCCTTTTTCAATTTCTTGATCCTTCTCTAAAGTAAGTTCAAACTGAAGTAAGGCTGAAGAGGTGATGAATTCTGGGATGCATGATCCATCAGTACATTCATATCAATCTCATCTCCCATTCCAATACAGTTGCAATAGACTTTTGGTCCCATCGGCTTCCAGGAAAGAAGCACTTTCTCCCAACTCTCATAAGGTCTTTACGATTGCCTGCATAGTAGGAAAATTATGGATGGATGTTCTAGTCCAGTTGCAAATCCATTGACAATCAACCCCAAAACCGATTTCACAATTATTGCACCAATATGAATATGTTTTCTAGTTTGAATACAATAATTCAGAATAGCACTTTCCTTAGTTACCATACTAATTTTCATAGAGAGTAGTAATTTTGATGCAATAAAGAAATGTCAAGCCTTAGATGCAAGATTTAACAATTATGAAGAAAATCTTATATTTCCATCATCTCTGACCATCATCTCTGGCCTCCCAATTTTTTTCTTCATCCATAAGATATCGATAGAGTTCATTCATATTATCTCTTGCAGGGGTAAGATACGCCTAGTAGCAAATAAGAACACTTTCAATCTTAAACATCTCATTTATTCTTGAATGAGTGAATTACACAAACCTAACTCGCACATAGATAATTCCTTGGATGATTTCATGTAGATTTGTGTAAAACTCTTTCATCACTGGGAAAACTACGGTTGTAGTAGTGTAGCAAAGCACTTCCCAGTGTCTCTACACAATAATCTCTTCCACTCGAGTATTCGGTGTGTTGAATCCTTGATTCACAAATCACCTTTCTTTGATTAGCCACTTTTTCATAAGAATGTGATCATATAACTTCTGCACATCAAAAATAACAAACTTCTCTAGCTGAAAATTCCAAATCTCGTGAAATTTTTAGAGTGGGAACCAATAGGAATTGAAAATTAGTGACTCTTCCCTCTTTTTCCCGCATAAAATTGAGTTTGGAATCCATTTTTATGAGTTATAAGGAGAAGAAACCGTTAAAAATTGTCAAAAATAGCCTTTTAAATGTTTTAAGTCATTTTCATCACCGCGTTGCTTTAGCATCCGATTCTGGCTCTTCAAGTGCCAGCTCTCTGGAATGTGGCGCTTCAGGAGTCAGTTCCAAAAAATTCTCTATTTTGATTTTGAATCCACAAAATTAGGTAAATAAATATGTTTCTAAATTTTTTTGTTAATATCACTTTTCTCAAATACATGGAATCTATAAAAGTACAAATATAAATATATGTTAACTATTCTGAATAAAAACATAAAAGCAAAATAAATAACGATAAATATGGGTTGCCTCTCATAAAGCACTTAGTTTAATGTCATCAGCCTGAAACTCCAGTCTTTATTATAGGTGACCTAACATTACAGTTTCTTTAAAAACTGGTCTTTCACCATCAAAATATGGTTTCAATCTGTGCCAATTCACTTCAAATATCTTTCAAGTCTTGGGATCTTCAATAATAACAGCTTTATAGGGATAGATTTTACAATTCTAAATGGCCCTTTCCACCAAGACTTCAGTTTCCAGGAAATAATTTCAATCATGTTTCGTATAATAAAACTTCCTATACATGCTCAAATTCCTTTTATATTATCTTTTGATCATGCCATTCTTTCATTCTTTCCTTATAAATCCTGGCATTATTGTAAGATTCATTCCTAATTTCTTCTAGCTCATTCAATTACAATAATCTTTTCTCACCAGTGTCTTTCAAATTTAAATTGAATTCCTTTATTGTTTAATAAGCTTTATGCTCCAATTCTACTAGTAAGTGACAAGTCTTCCCAAAAATTAATCTATACAAAAAATTCCTATAAGTTTCTTATAAGCTATCATGTATGCTCATAAAGCAGTTTCTAATCTA